TCTTCTTTTGTGACCTCCTGATCCAGTTTTCCTCTCTACTGTTCCCCCTTTTTAAAACTTATTCAGCGTTCTCTTGATAGTTCTGGAATGGACTTTGGAATCCAGAGTATGAATGTTGGTACCATTACTGAAGGCCTGAATGATCTTTTTCCTCTCAATAGTGATCATTTTGGAAGATAGTGGAGGTGACACAAAATGATTTTAACCTGTTCTCTTTCTAGCTGAATAACTCAAAGGGTTTTTAGTCATTCTTACGACAAATGGTCTCAAGATAGACGTCTTATCTGAAAACCTGGAAAAAAAGAAACTTAGTTTAGTGTTTTTTTTATGTTTTATTTTTAAATATTAAACATTTTATGGAATGGACAATTATGCAGTTACACGATTTGCACAATTTTGCTGTTACACCGGTATATATATATATATATATATATATATATATATATATATATATATATATATATATATATATATATATATAAATATATGATATTTGGTGGTACAAAATTTTATCACTGCCATAAACAGACAAAATTTAGTTTTATTATTACCACTCATGATGATAATAAAAAGTAAAAATGAAAAACGGACTAGCTAAATGGTTTTGAACCTCGCTCAACAGAGCTAAATCGATGTAAATAGAGTAAATTATATAATAAAAAAAACAATGAACAAAGTTTATTGGTGAGGAAAAAAATTAAATGGTAATTAGTGGGAGGCCTAATATAAAGTCCTTCTGTCTACATTTCGTAGCATATATATATATATATATATATATATATATATATATACTACGAAATGGAAAAACCTCACAATTATTTTAAGATATTTTATTGTTATACGTTATTTATATAGACACAAATATATAAGTAAATGTTCTGTTTATTATAAAAAGGCCGGTAAATGCTGTTAATACTGTTCATTATAGACAGAACATTTACTTAAATATTTGTGTCTATATAAATAACGTATAACAATAAAATATCTATATATTATAAATATGATATAATATATGTATATATATATATATAATATATATATATATATATATAATATATATATAATAATATATATATATATATATATATATATATATATATATATATATATTTATTTGTTGATTGATGTGAGTTTGTGACCCTGGATTTCCCGCTTTTTGCGATCGTCAGACAAACTGATTAATTTTTTTAAATTTTGTGTTTATGTAGATTGCGTGTATTGGTGTTATTATGGGAGTGGGGGGAATCGTCGTCGTGATGTCATCGTGCTAACGCAAACATAGATGCATGTCCGTACACCCGATGAGGTACGCAGACACACATACACACATGCTCGTCCGCCGGGACTCATACAGATATAAACATATGTGGACAGTTTGTGATTTGACATGTATGTATATGGGTGTTGTGTCTATATATACGCATTTGTATGTTGAAATTCAAAGATTGGAAGTGTAGCGAAAATTTCTCGTGAATGTCTCGTGAATGTATACATGTCAGCAATCAGAGCATTTTTCTATTTTTTCGCTGAATAATATTTCCTCGCATGCACGTATATACGTGTGATGGGGTCAATACAAAATTATGATAGGTAAAAATTACTATTATTTTTAATTTAAAAAAAAAGTTTATTTGTTATTATTTTAAAGCTGGTTATTTGCTTGTTTTTGATGACTGTGTATATGTGCTGGTAGAAATTTCGGTTTGTAATCCTTATTGGTTATTTTTATAGTGGTATTAAATATGCTGGGGAGGGGGGTAGTTTACGTTAATAATTATAGCGGATTTATATGATAATAGCAGATGTGATGCGATATTAATTTTGTAAGGGGATTGGAGACAATGATAATATAAGTAGCTAATAGTTATTGTAAATTGGTAGAAGTGATTAGTAATGGTGGTGGGGGAATGATAAAAACAATAAATGTAATTATTGTGGTGGTAGCTTGAACTAAAAAGTGATTGTTGGTGTTTTATTTTGTTATATATATTAATTTATTTTGGTATAAATCCTGATAATAGGTATTCTGTATAAAATTATGATGGTTGAAAATTGCTATTATTTTTATTTCTAAGTTTTTTTAAATGTATTTGTTATTATTTTAAAGCTGGTTATTTGCTTGTTTTTGATGACTGTGTATATGTAACTGGTTGAAATTTCAGTTTGTAATACTTATTGGTTATTTTATATGGTGGTATTTAATATACTGGGGGAGGGGGTAGTTTACGTTAATAATTATGACGGGTTTATATAATAGTAGATGTGATGTGATAGTAATGTTGTAATAGTTATTGTAAATTGGTAGTAGTGATTCGTAATGGTGGTGGAAGAATAATAAAAAACAATAAATGCAATTATTGTGCTGCTAGCTTGAACTAAAAAGTGATTGTTGGTGTTTTATTTTATTTTATTTCATATATTTATTTATTTATTTATTTTGGTATAAATCCTGATAATAGGTATTTATTCTCATGCCTACATTTGGAAATTATCTCTGATCTTATTGGTTTTTATTTGCTGGTATTAAATATGCTGGGGGGGGAGTAATTTACGTTAATAATTATAGTGGATTTATATGTTAATAGTAGATGTGATGTGGTAGTAATGGTGTTGGGTGTTGGTGGTAATGACAATATTAGTAGTTAATAGTTATTGTAAAGTGGTAGAAGTGATTACTAATGGTGGTGGAATGATAATAAAAATAAATGTAATTATTGTGATGGTAGGTTGAATTAAAGAGTGATTGTTGGTGTTTTCTTTTCACACATATATATTTTTTTCATATATATATATATATATATATATATATATATATATATATTTTCACATATATACATATTTTTTCACATATATATATATATATTTTTCACATATATATTTTTTTTCACACACACACATATATATATATATATATATATATATATATATATATATATATATTTTTTTTCATTTATTAATCCGACATATTTTAATTCATTGTTTATAAGCTATTTTTAAAGGATAAGCATATTTGAGTAGATGGTGTATTTTCATTTATATATTAAACCGTGTATTTCTTTTTTCCATCATCACGAATATTCGAGAAATCATATTAGAAAAATAAGGTTCGTATCCTGACGGAGAGAGCGTATTTTTCGGGTCATGGTGGATTTGGGAAATACAGCAATTGAGAAGTGGTTACACGCTCCTCAAAACCTGCAATATACCCATCTGTGCGGACTTATTAATGCATACACTAAGCACAATAACGAGAATTCAACTAGAATATTTGCCTCTTGTTAGCTTTTATGGCTTTTAAGTTACGTGACAATTATCTTTATTTTTATTATAAAAATAACTGTTTACGCTTTTATCTGAATTGAAATCGGTGGATAGGTTTTCGCATTCACAAAAACCCGCTTTGAGGCCAACAATGGCGGCCCTTGTTATATTACATGTCAAGTCACTCTTTGTGTATATAATTTATATTATCTGTAAATGAAATGATAAATAAGAACACGAAATTAAATCTTTCATTCATAACGTTATTAGTGACTCAACTCCGGGCTCGGTGATTAAGTGTGTTGATTTGGGGCTTTCTCCGAACGCGGATTCCTCTCGTGAGTATTTCAGAGACTATCTCCCTCTTCCCTCTCGGGTGAGTGTTTTATATCTTCTTTTCATTCGTTGTCCTACTTGTGCACATCTTAAGCGAAGCTAGGTTGGCCACCTGTTTACATGTCAGGGACTGCCACTGACATCCTGCATTTTCTGGCTTGGAGGTTATCTTTCAGATCAACCTACAGAAGTGTAGAAAGGTGGGGGCAAGACGGGTGGTAACCCCTGGCGAAAAAAACTTTTATAAATACCAATCCATGCCACAACAACGATGTTAATTCTCATTGTCTCTACATTTTATTTTGATTTCATCCGTTACTTCGAATCTTAGCCTTTGTCTCTGGCATCAAAAGCAAACTGGTTTTTAAAAGAGCATAACACACAATATGTCTACCTGGATACAGACTTCCTGCGTCGAACTATTCTTAAACGAATGGCTGTTTGATGCGTGCAGATGAACCAATAACATTTTCACATACCACCACCCTCCGCTCGCTTTTTGATATTACTAAACTCTACTTAGTACATTACACGACTAAAATGTCTGAGGCAGATAATGGGCGGGGGGGGCAGTCTTGTCTGGGCGCAGATGTGAAAGAGGCACAAATTTGTGTCTGCATCTGTAGCTTATTGCATACCAGTTGCTTAAAATCGTCAATTCTTTTTAATATAAACCGAATTAAGTCTATATGATCAAGTAATTTTTTTATCTGTTTCATAAAGCATGGACATTACCAGAAATAAATGACTTTCTAGAAGAGTTCCAGAAATCTGAGCAAAGAAGAAAGCATCGATTTACTTGAGCTGTTCCATTGAACATGACGGAATGACATCAATTTGAAAACGATTTGCAAATTATGTCAGTAGTTTGGGATAATTCGATTAGTTCGTTTTACGTTCATGATATTAAGATTTTATTTTTGGCCTGGGTAATTGATTCTTTATTAGTATTTTCAGAGGGTAATCATTTACGAAACATATAGTAACAGATTTCTGGTAAGGGTACCAAATTTGTATTTGCACTCGGATGTTAAAAACCCTCGAGATGTCACTGGCTGATATACTTGGCTTTTCTGGTGGTCTGGTGTGACATTGAGTGCAACATCTGTTCTATCATTATCTGAGATGAATGATTCGTTTGATACGGTTTATCAATCCTTTGCAGGTTATTTAAAACCAGAAAATAGTTTTAGATTATAAGAATTTTCTTTTTGAGATAATAATGCTTTAATGATGCAAGTTTTACTAATTAACCCATAGCTGGAGGGAGAAAAGATGGATTCATACCTTTCTCTAAGGTATTTGCGCATAACTGAATATAACAAACCCAATGGAAATTGGGCCTCGGCTCTCCGATTAACAATTCCAAGCCATTATCCATTACACCAGCCACAAATCCAAGTTTACAGCTCCTGGTATTCCCAAGCGGCCACCCATCTAGATACTAACCGGGCTGGACATTGCTTAACTTCGGTGATCTTACGGGAACTTGTGTTTTAATGGGATGTTGTCGTAAGAATTATCTGAGGCGCGTCACATATTATAATTACACGATGTGATCATTTCAAGCAGCAATTTATAATATTTTCTTTTCTTCTTCGTCTTTCAAAATTTGACACTATTTTCTTTGCCGCTTTTGTAATAAACAAATATACAAAATTCGAATAAAAATTATCGGGACCCCTGGACAAAGACACAACACTAATAGTTTCACGCACGATATTTTAAATCAAGGAACTTTTGGCGAAATCCAGAATACGCTGAATGCATCACTTACATAGAGTATATGATTCTCTCCAAAGGGTCCACCGGCAAAATAAACTCTTACAGACACAAAATTTCTAAGGAATTAATGGATTTTACTTTTAATCTATCGTTATTTTCGATTACTCTAAATTTAATTTTTAGTCGATACTCGTATTTGATTAGACGCCTTATTTATTTATTTATTTATTTATGAATTATATATTTATTTATGAATTATATATTCCAACCTGCGCATTCGAGAGACTTATTGTCGGAGATCTCATTCTTTTATGCAGTCTTCCTAGTGCCGGTAGACGTAATTTACACTATTAACAAAAATCAGGACGTCTACTTAAACACGTGTATCCTCTAAAAATAACTTTTAGAGAACCAGATTCACTAATATTGAGTAGTGACTGGGATCTTCACAGGGTTTTCCATATTTTTGGCCTTGTAGCAACTTAAAGCGATCTTACTAAACAATTAGTAGCCTTTCCTCCAACTCATATGTTGAAAGTGTTATTGAGAAATACTCAAATATTCCTACCGTGGTAAAGCAGTTCTCATTCTTACGTCCAAATTATAAATGAAAATTGTTTAAAAGAATGAAATTTAAAAAAAAATGAAATACAAATCAATATACAAGTCGAAATGAAGTGTTAATGAAATTTTATTACTCTAAAGTAATTTACGTGCCACCTTGTATTTTACGGCCGAGCATTTTCTAGACCACAAAACTCGTCTTTATGTTGGTTATGGAAGCACATAAGGAAAACAATTCGATATTATTTACTTAGTTCGAGTGCAGATTTGAAACGGTTTTTAAATCATAACGAAATCCGAAGTTGTAGCATTTGATGGTGATAAGACGTCACAAGTTATAAGTTTCTAAGTACGTCTAATTAACGAAGACAAGTAGTGACAAGAGTTTCACGTCTGGTATTTCACTAACCAGCAAGAGGTTGTGTATTTCGTATAAACCCCGGCCGCTTTGGTCTAGCCAATTAACATTTCGCTTAGAATTTTGGCAGTTGGCCTATCATCAGTTGACATGAAAAAAAACAACATACACTAAAGCTTGTACGATTTTCGCATCGACAAGCTGTCAGCCCTGATTGCTGACACCGTCTTAGACAGGAGAATGTCATGGGAGAGTGGTTTTCCTGAGCGTGCATTCAACCAGTCTTTTCTCTGTCAACAACCGTGGCATTCCAGAGAAACGTTTGCTAATATAACTGACTGGGCAGTGAGGTGTTGGTTCATGCCTTTCTCAAGCTAAAGTGTCAGTAGTATCAACCGAAATTCGATAACGACGCAATTTTTTTTTATTAGTTTAACTGATTTCTTCGTTTTTTTTTTATTTTTATAGCAATATTTTTCTGAATTGGTAATCTACGTCAAGGAAGTGTGCGTGGTGTAAAGGTTATTGGCGTGGAAAGTGGAATTGGCGTATCGAGTTCAAACACCGGCTGAGACTGTTGCGTTCACTTTCAAACAAATAGCCTTTAGATCTATCTCTTCCTTCCCTAATATTAACAGCAAAACTGGCTAGGCTTCTCAATTTGTTTGGTAACCAGTCTAGGAGAAGGACATCTCTGAGTTTGATGCTAGCAACTCCATTCCGCAGAGAAATAACTACTTGCTACGGAAACTGCAGCAACACCAAGCGTAGTGAAGCTGTGACCTATAGTCAATGGGGGAAGTTTCCAAGGTTAAATAAAAAAGACTATGTTTAACTTATCCTTCAATGATCTTTTTTTTTCACTCCTGACTTTATTCCTGAGATTTACATTGACCCTCACCACTGAGCAAGGTTGTGACACAAGGTCAGTTTCCACTCAGGCCGCTGGTCTAAGCTGGTCTTAGCTAGGCATAGCCGCTACAGAACAGATGTTACGGAATAAGACAGAAGATTCTGTCCAGGCAACGAAGGAGGATAAGAGAAAGCCTCCGGTACGGAACAGATACTACAACGGCAGCATCTACTCCGACGGGAAGTTCCTCCTCCTCCTCTCTCTTCCTCCTCCTGATTTTATTCCTTGTTGTATTGTTAATTGCTGAGTCATAGAAGTTGTTTTCCAGATTCTGAAGATAAAGTATTTCATTATTATCATATCTAGTTGTTATTATTATTATTATTATTATAAATTATTGTTAGAGGATGCGTGTAGCCTAAGAGTTAACAGCAAGAAAAATGGAATTGGTGAGCCGAGTTTAAATTGCAGTAGAGATTATTTTTGTGTTCACTTCGCCCTAAAAAGATATGGATACATCTCATCACTGCAAACCTATGGATTAAATAACAAGGCAGGTTGGCCTCTCTAACCTTGGATGGCAATTCTGAATTAAAACTCATGGAGAAAGCAACAGGGAAGCACTCCACTACCTTCTTCAAGAATAATCAGTTTAGATATTAAAAAAAAAAAAGTAAGCGGTGTAGAGCCATGATTGTCTACTTACTGAAGTTAAGTGGCACTTAAAAAGAAGGGGGTGTGTGTGTGTGTGTGTGTGTGTGTGTGTGTGTGTGTGTGTGTGTGTGTGTGTGTGTGTGTGTGTGTGTAAGTTTAGGAGGTTGTTTATAATGAAGATATGGTTCTACTCAAGAAAGAAAATTCATCGTTGTTTGCTAATTAACTTTCATTCTTCAAGATCCTGTTTGATCCCACACTTCCCTTGGTTCCGACTGATCTTCTCCAAGATCCTAATTTATTTTCTCAAGTTCTTTTAGGAATTTTGATCTCGCCATTTCGTCAAACTTCAATCCGCTGAAGTCGTGACATCAGTTTCCGTCACAGTCAAATATTTTCTTTCTTTTTCTTTTATTTTTACTTCTCTCTTTCACATATTTCCTTGTCTTTTTCTTTTCCTTGTCTTTTTCTTTTCCTTGTCTTTTTCTTTTCCTTGTTTTTTTCTTTTCCTTTTCTTTTTCTTTTTCTTTTCCTGTTTTGTTGGCGGTTATATTTTCGGAAATATTTTAATTTTTTTGTTTCCTTGTTTCTTTAAAATTTTGTTTGCTTTTTTTGTTTTCTTTCTTTTTTAAGATTTTGCTTTCTTTTTTCTTTCTTTCAAATTTTGTTTCTTTTTCTTTAATATTTTCTTTCTTTCTTTTTCTTTCTTTCTTTTTTCTTTGACTTTTTTCATTTTTGCTAAAGATTTTATTTTCTTCTTTTGAACATTTTCCTTCAAAAATGTATTTTCCTCTCCTTGTTTTTTCGGAGTTTACATTTTTTTAGTAATTGCTTATTTTAAAAATGTCACTTTGTTTTCTTCTTTTCTTTCTTTCAATTTTTTTTCTTTTTTACTTGCCTTAAGATTTTGCTTTCTTTCCTTATTTCTTATGTCTTCAAATTTTGTTTTCTTTCTCTCTTTCAAATTTTGTATCTTTCTTACTTGCTTACAATTTCCGTTTTCTTTCTTTTTTTCTCTTTCTCTCAAATTTTCTTTTCTTTTTTATTTGCTTTAAAATTTTGTCTTTTTTCTTTCTTTCTTTCTTTCTTTCTTTCTTACAAATTTTGTTTTCTTTTTTACTTGCTTTAAGAATATATCTTTGTTGCTTTCTTTCTTACGGCCACGTCACGTTGAAACACCGATTCTTGTATGATCACCGAAGTTAAACAACGTCGAGCCTGGTTGGTATCTAGATGGGTGACCGCTTGGGAATACCAGGTGCTGTAAGTTTGGATTTATGGATAATCGCTCAGAAGTGTTAATCGAAGAGCCGAGATCGAATTCCAGTCGAGTTCGTTATATTTACTTACACCAACCGCACACCCGACGTGGTCTTTGTTGTTCTAAAAATCAGCATTTCAAATACTATATTTTACCAGGAGGCGAACGCGGACACCTGAGGAGACTATCTAAGCCTGTTGCCAAGAACGAGATATTTACTAAATTTTACTAAGTGCAACGAAAGACCATATAGGGAAAGGAGAGTATTTTTTTAAAGTTATCGAAGCCTATTACGAAAATGGACTTTCAAACAAAAATACACTTCGCGCACTTCCCGATTTTTTTGGTCAACATAATCGACCAACCGAAAGTGCAATTGGAAACGATGTAACATTGTTGTGGCGAGGTTCAATTCCTGCACCCGATAACGAACAGAATTGTCTGGATCTCGGCCACATTCTCATGCACTGCAGCAATGGTGTTTTCACATCTGCCACCGACCCAGTTTGTTTGAATTTACGAACAATTTTCCAATTGCACTCTTGAAACTTTAACGCGTTGTTTGATTGGCAATTTCAATCATGGAAAGATCTACAAAGACTTAAGTTGTTAAATCTGAAAGAAAAAGAAAAAAATCATTAGACGCTTAAACTTAATTCACATTTAAAATCCGTCCAAGTTATTGGAGCACCTTTAATATTGGTTCTTGTCGTTTCTTTTTATTTATTTACGTGGACTCACATCCCGAGTCCGCCATGTTTGTTGTGGGCATTTCAGGAGATAAACGTGTTTAACTCTTAACGCATACACCGGTCCGCAACAGATTTCTCGAATGTTCAGGCGGATTGACGTAATACACACCGATTAAATTTGAAATAGTGCATGTATTTCAAATACGATTATCCAATATAATAATATTTGAAGTAATAACTATGTGTGTGTGCGTGTGTGTCCAAAGAAAAATATCTGCTAATAACAATTATCAATTTGTGTAAACAATCTCAGTTGCTTATTGCATAATCCTGTTTGAACCTTTTTGTCCCAACTTTAAAAATCTCTAAAGAGTAACTTTTATTGAAAATCTTCTGAACTCATTAATATAAGTGAATACATCTTTTAAAACCAGTGCAAAAATAAAATGAATAGCTTTAAGGGTCAAGACAATAAAGTCTGATTGGACTTAACCATTTCCTTTGCTAGACCTAATGCTACCGTCACCTGTGAAAACATTGAATTTGTTTCCATGTGGGATTAAAGGCTGATGTGTATCGTTTTTCCTTTGCCCAACAGGGGGCAGAACAAATTGAAATATCTTCTTTTTTTTTTGTTGTTCTTCTTTCCAATTACAGATTGCCTTGAGAATTTGTCTGAGAATGCAAAACAAGGGAGGCAACTCATATATCAGTCTGACTGGCTCCTGTCAAGGCTGACAATGAGTGTACTGACTACTGCTACTACTATTTGGGTGCTACAGTAGTTATCACAGAGTTGTTTACCAGGCATTCTTTTATTGGGCACAACCTGAAAATGGTGGTTACTACCAGCTATTCAATTAGCTGCTAACTTTGATTCCTAGCTGACCAAACTTCATCTGTCCATTACACTAAGAATAAAAAAATAAGTCGTGGTGTCTGCAGCAGTGAATATAGTCACAGCCAAGATTTAAATTCAGTTTACCAATTCCAAATAGTAGTGAAGAATCCAACCATTAGAAATGAGATGCTACAGAATCATCCTAGGAATCATAAATAACACAGTGCGAGATGCCATCAGCCAAGAAATAGGCCTATTGAAAGACTTTCTTACCAGCATCAAGAAGACAAAGTCAAAATGGTACGGACATACCATAAATGCCAACAATCTTTCCACTGCCATCCTACAAGACACCACCTTAGGCAAACAACAGGCAGACAGTGTCAAAAATGGGCTGACATCACTGTGTGGGCTGGAAGATTTTTGAGACTCTTGGTATGCATCCGAGACATATGGAGAGAGCTGGTCAAGTGCTCAGGTTTGCAGTAACCATAAAAACACACTCAGTCATGCAACTTATGATGAACCATTATGATACCTAATACTTACACTTGTTAAGTCAACTTTATTAGTACATGACCAATGGTACTAGCAATAAAGACTGCTTTTTCTGTAGATCAATTATATCATAGAAACCCATAATATTCTTCTTCTATATATTGTGTCATCAGGACGGAGGTGTTCATGCCTCTCCATGACTTCCTATCCTTTGTAGCGCTTAGTAAATTTTGTCTTTTCACCATCCCTCCTAATTCCTGTTCCGCCATCCATTTACACAAGCTTGTTAAGTAAGTTACTCACTTCTACCCTCTGGCCCTCTTGCAATTAGCATGTCCTTTGAGTGTTAAACTCTCCAAGTTCTCTTTCCTCATTACATACCACAAAGATTTCAACTCTCTTTCTGATTATAAGTATAAGTGTCTTTTTTGGTCCCATTTTCTATCAAACTTCCTCATTACTCACAAAATCAGTCCATGGTATTCTCAGCATCCTTCTGTAGAACCACATTTCCATAGTCTAGTAAGTTCAATCTTCTCTAAATGTCTCACACTTGCAGTCTTGTGTCAGACTAAACTAAGCTTTAACAAAATGTCAGCATTATGCAGTAATAGCTAACATGACATTACTTCTGGGATGAGTCCAACTCTTGCAGGAGTATCTCATACTAGTGGCTTTGTGCAAACTCAAACTTATTTATTATTTACTAAGCATAGCTTAGTTTTGTCATAAAGCATGAGAGGCACCTGGTGAGGATTGAACTCACTACTATTACACTATAATGAGCTGCCAAAATTAAGCTTAGTAAATATCTAATTTACAAATATATTGTTTCTTATCATATAGCAAGCTTGCCCAGCAGTCCATTTCAGGGGTACAGTGAGCCCCCAAATAGTGCCCCTATTCTAGATTAAATTATATTTAAAAGAAAATGAATAAATTATATATGTTTGGGCTCCACCTAAATAGCAGTGGTTTGCAAAACAGTCTTTCACACCATTGGCTGATTTAATAAGGTCGATCTGATATTGCTTGGGTGATTTATAATTGTGCCAATTACCACAACTGAAAAAAGAAGCCCAACAGTGAATCAGCCAAGAGAAATTGAAATTATTACATTAGACAATAGTCTTCCTAACCAATGTTCTAAAGTACATGTTTCTAGTCTGCTATAAAGGATCATCCATCAAAAAAAAAAAAAAAAAAAAAGATACATTCCCCAACAAAATATCCCTATATAAGGTTCATTTGGTGACCAAGGTTCTATTGCAAACAATCTCCACTGGCCCAATGTCCTTGCTCATTCTGCACAATAGTTATATAGAGACATTGTTTCTTTTTCTTATTGCAAATATTTTATGAGAAAGTTTTGTGGGTTTCTTGCAAAAACAAATCAATTTTTTTTCATTACGCTGAGTTTCATTAAAAAAAAATCACTTTTGCAATATAGCAAGCAACAAAAAAAATGACACAAAAAAGACAAATTTTTTATCTATTTATTTTCTATTTTATTGTCAATTTATTCAAATAACAACACTGGATATTACATCATGAAAATAGACTATCAAACAAAAATAGAACAATATTCTTTGGTTAGCTTTAACAATATGAAATATACTTTTATAATATGCTGTTTTGTATACAGGTTTCTCTCACTCTCTGGAATTAGAATATGAAACATATTGTAAGTTAAAATCCTGTAAAGCTTTTTAAGTTCACACCATTTTGTCTTACATGAGGAAATTGTTGAGACATCTTAGACTCAAAAAAATAATAAACTTGCATGAGATTGCAGAAAAGTAGAAGTTTAATTTTAAAAAAGGTAAATAAAAGGTTTAGAGCAGGAACGCAAGATGTTTTGAGTGCCAACAATGAAACTGTATGATTAGATTGTTTTTTAGAAATGGGTCAGGATAATAAGTTTTCAGCACCCCCCCATGTGTGTCGGGAAGGTAAACAGAGTAGGAGAAGGACAAATCTAAATTCAAATCCCCTGCCAACATGGCATGGGCCAGACTATTATGCTAACTGTTTGTCAGAATTTAGAAAGGCCTGGTTCCTGTGGTGGACAGAAAATTTGGGCTGATTATACATGTGATGGGCTCAACTATTGTCTTCAAAACAATGGGGTCTCACAGTTCAGTTCTTAAAACTAAACAGCCAGACTACCCACACAAATGATTTGATTACTGTGGTGAAGTCTTGTGCAGAACTAGCCACACTATTTGGAAGAACCAAATGCATAGAACTTGCACATATGGTATGCTGCAAAATCTTTAAATGACCCTTGTTAGGTCTTGATTTCAGAGTTGTCCTTCTCATAGACTTGTTGCCAACCAAGAGCCCAGTCTACCTTACTATTTAACCTATAGCTAGAGAGATAAATTTATACCTTTTGCAAACTCAACAAAAAACTCTCAGATTTCTTATTCTAAGCTGCTATACATTAGCCCACAGAAATATTCATATATATATATATATATATATATATATAAATCTAACAAGAAATAAAGAAATACTTTTTTATTAAGTTTTAAGCTTCTACAATATAAAGTACAATCATATATATTTTCACAATTTCTATCTGAATTTATGAGATGAAGAGTTATCATTATTTCCATTATTTATATACAGACTATTGTACACATTCTTGTTACTGTTATCTCATTTCAGTTGTTTTGTTAATGACAACAAAAATGAGGACAATAGTTCATATATTATTAAATATAACAGACAATGAATTATGTCTGACCATAGCCATTTTAATATTCGAATGTGTGCTTTAATTTCTCATGAAAATAAGAGAAAAATTGTCCAACATTTGGATATTGTTTTAT